TAGCGGCTGCGGCTGCGGTGGTAGCGGAGGAGGCAGCAGCGGTGGAGCGGGCTGAAGAGGGAAGGCAGGATCAGACGGGAGGCTGGGTCAGCAGGTCGGCAGAAGGTGGATTAGTAGTTAAAGGCGGAAGATGGGATCAGTAGTTAATGGTGGAGAAGGCGTGGCTGGAGGAGGGTCTGGCAGGGAGGGAGGAGGAGAGAGGGTGTGGACGGACAGGGGCATGAGGCCGGCGGGAGAACGGGCGGCTTTCGCCAGGGGAGTTAGTGGTGGTCTCCGGTGGAGGGGGGTGGGAGGACGTGGGGACGACGGTGGTGCCATCGCTGCCCCCGCACACACACAGCACATGAACCCACTCCCACACACACACAGCACACACACCGCGGGCTCGGTGGCACAGTGGCATGGTGACAGCCCATAGGGAGGAGGAAGGACAGGGCGAGGAGAGAAGGTAGAAGGAACTGTGGGGGGAGGGACGGGGATGCAGCGGGAGGGAGAGTCACAGTGAGAGAGAGAGACTTGGGCATATTTCCCGGTTCCCTGGCAGAAATTACTGAGATCGGTGCGGATGGTAAAGTCAGGGTCCCGTTTTCATACTGAGGCCATGCTACATTACAGAAAAAGGATGTGGGTCCGGGCAGGCATAGTGTTTAGCCAGATCAGTGAGCCGGCACCCTAGAGGTGTGCTCAGGTCAGGTTTGAAATTTGAATTCCCTGTGTTTGATCCTTGTGGCCTGTAGCAGGCTAAAGGCTGGTGTCCCAGCAGTTTAACCCACACTACGGATGGACGCTTGGGTCATGGGATGTAGGGACGTCTCTACTACTTCCCGAGGTCCAGAGAAGCCTTCCTGGAAGCGTCCGGAAAGAGGCAATCTCTGACGCGGCCACGTTTTACGGACAGAGATGGCAGCGGACCGGCGGCCACGAGGAACAGGCACGGGGGTGGGGCGGGGTGGGGCGGGACTCACCGATGATGTTGCCAAACCGGGAAAAGTTGCCGAGCTGAAGAAATGAGGTCCTGATGGGTCCTGGGCCACGAGGAGGGAGAGGCAAGCACTCTGAGCCACGGAGGGATGGCCAAATGTAGTGCTTATGCCACCTGAGTTTCAAGGCACCAAATGTTAGGTTAGGTGGCTCAGGAGGCGGTGCAAGAAATAGAGAGTCTATGAATCATCAGCAGGGTTATTCAGGAAGGAGTCAGTATCTGTGTGGGGGTCCTGTTGATTCAGGGAGAAGCCAGTATCTGTGTCTGGCATGCTGATCTATTAGAAATGCCGGGGAGTCCATTATCTGCATGTATCCGATCCTCGGCTCTCTCCGACCTAACAGCCTGCTGCACCGCCCCACTCAGTGTCACTCTCTCAGCCATGGAGCCACGAAAATGCCACGGGGTCTTGGGGGCGGTCACCCCAGGGTGTTCATCACACACGGGTCACTGGCCTCGGCCTCTGGTGGCCTCCTCTTTTGGGGGAGGGTGCGGGTTTCTCCTCTCTCTCAAAGGAGACCCCCTTGGCGTAAGGAAACACTTGTCTCCTTAGGTGAGTACATGAAGGCCTGCTTCACGGCACTGAGTTCACGGAGAACGTGGGGGGAGCCATCAGGGAGGGGGCAGCTGCCACCAAAGAGAGAGTGTGTCACCGTTCCTACGAGGAGGAGCATGCTAGCTCAGGCCGCCACAGACAGCGCCCCAAAAACCACAGGCAGTCCCCACATGCCACATCCGGTGTCCATACCCCACAGCCAGTGCCCCACACGCCACAGCTAGGGCATCACATGCCAAGCCAGTATCCACACACCACAGCCAGCACCTACACCCCACAGCCAGTGCCCCACAAACCACAGCCAGTGCACACACGCCACAGCCGGTGCTTTATACGTCACAGCCAGTATCCCATACTCCATAGCGTCTGCTGGCTTGTTATAACTAGCATATTCATGCCACTGCCAGTACCTATACACCACAGCCACTACCCCACACACCACAGCCACCACACCCCAGCCAATACCCCCCCCACCACAGCCAATCCCCCACACACCACAGCCAGTGCCCAGACGCCATACACGCTCCACAGCCAGTACCCACACGCCACAGCCAGTACCCACACACCACAGCCAGTGCCCACACACCACAGCTAGTACCACATGCCTTAGCCAGAGCCTCACATGCCTTAGCCAGTGCCCTACATGCCATAGTAGTACCCTACACGCCACAGCCAGTACCCCCACGCCACAGCCAGTACCCCCACGCCACAGCCAGTACCCCCACGCCACAGCCAGTACCCCCACGCCACAGCCAGTACCCCCACGCCACAGCCAGTACCCTCCACGCCACAGCCAGTGCCCTACATGCCATAGTAGTACCCTACACGCCACAACCAGTGCCCCACACGCCATAGCTAATGCCCTACATGCCACAACCAGTGCTCCACACGCCATACCTAGTACCCTACATGCCACAGCCAGTGCCCCTTGCCACAGCCAATGCCCTACACACCACAACCTGTACTCCACACACCACAGCCAGTACCCACACGCCACAGCACTAGTCCCATCGCGAGGCCTCCCACTGCTCCTGAGCTTTTCCACAGCCTTGCCCACCATCGTTTCTCTGTGAACCTCCCTGGCGGTGGGTAGAGGCATCACGCGTGGAGAAAGCCTGGGATTTCGGTCTTTAACGCTAACGTGCCTTTGGTTTTCTCTCTTTCTGTTGCAGAAACTGGAAGAGAAGTTCCGGCTGAACAGACGAGAGTTGATCGCCTTCGAGTTCCCAGTGTTGGTGGCCTTGGAATTTGCCCTTCACCTGCCGGAGCACGAGGTCATGCCCCATTACAGACGCCTGGTCCAGAGCTCCTAGCACAGGCCTGGGGTTGGGGAGCCCTGACACACACTTCCTGGTCTGGGGGAGGGGAGGGCGGCTCCTAGCACAGGCCCGGAGCACTGCTGCTGGAGACTCATTCCCGAGCAGAGCTCAGCTCACGGGACTCTCCTCCCAACGGGCTTGTGCAGAGGCTGTGCCGGGGACCTTTCCAGGAGCCTGGTCTGCTGGCTGAGAGCCCCTGGGAGCTGTGACTACCCTCCGGGGGAGGGGAGGCCTGGGTGGAAGACACAGTGGCCCTCCGGGCTCTCCACCAGCAAGAGTTCTTCCCCCCGCCCCCAAGTCCTCCTCCTGGGCACACAGACCTGCCGGCCGGTCCAGAGCTCTACAGACCCACGCCACGTCTGAGCGTCAAGCCAGAGCAGAGCAGGGATGACAGCGTGGACATGTGGAGGAAAGCTTTACAAAGACGCTCTTGCGGTGTCAGAAGAGGGTACCAGTAGGTCTCTGTACCAGTTGTTGGAGGGCACTGTCCCTGAGGGCGTGTGCCTGCGTGAGTGTCAGTGTGTCTGAGAGATGCTGCCTCAGCCCTGAGCCCCAGCCAGCCTTGACCCCTTAGCACAGACCTCGCCTGGGGGCCGCTCGCCTGGGGACTCCTCGCCTGGGAACCCCTCGCCCAGGGTCATGAGCCAGGCTGGCCTTCACGGTGATTTCTGGAGAACCTCTGAGTAGCCATTGCTCTCTCAGTACCAGGTGGTCTGACAGCTGTGCCCCCAGATAAAGACCTGGTTTCTGTCGCCTCCACCCCCCCACAGGACAAAAGCCAGTCCTCCTGTTGGAGTGTCCCGCAAGACGGGTCATGTTGGGGGTCCCGCGGGAAGGGTGCTGGCGGCTTCGCACCTTCCTGCATCCGACCTCTGTGCAGGTGTTTACCCCGCCCTTGCCGATGGGGCCGGCGGGGAGCGCTCCGCAGTGGGCTCAGTGCTCTATGTTAGAGTGCACGCTAGGCACTTTGTTGTGCTGTATGTACATACGTAACCGTGTTTTATAAAATCAGAACAAGGTTAAGACATGGTTCATACCAGAGGCTTTTAGCCCCTGGCACCAGCTGCCTCGGGCTGAGCCTGTGCCCGTTGGAGAGGCGGCGAGCTCACCCCTGCGTGCGGGCTGTGCTGATGGCTGGGACTACCTGTACGTGACCAACCTGCATTCACCGCCTGTAGTCACCACGTCTTCACCTTAAAGCCCAAGACAAGCGCCCACCGAGGTCCGCCCAACGGGAAGGCCTATGGCCGTGTAAAGAAAATTAAAGTATTTTATTGTTTCTATATCTGTGTGTGTGTGTCTGTGTCCGTGCGTGTGTGTGTGTGTGTGTGTGTGTGTGTACACACGTGTCTCAGTGGTCACACCCTGCCCTGCATCACTGATGCACCTGCCGCCGTTCCCACTGCAGACCTCACAGAGGAAGCGAAGCCTCTCACATCTCCAGGGCAGGGTTGGCTAGCGGGGGTTGGGCGCAGCCTTCCTAGTGGCCTAGACCGAACTCGCTGGCACAGGTCAGAGGTTCTGGTGCTGCTAGAGAGTAAACAGGAGGCTCCCGATGGGCTGTGTTCAGTGCTAAGCAGTTGCTGAATGTTCCCTTCGCTGGATTGCATGTAAGAGGGATTTTGTGGAGGGTCTGGCTAGACCTGCTAAGATTTAGGGCCCTGCAACAGGTGAGGCAGATGTGGGAAGGAGCCCAGCGCTCCCAGCGTCTCTGTCCCCTGAGGCCCCACATGCCCTGGGCCCTGCTCTCCCCGTGTCTTCCCCCAGCTCCCAGGTGGCCCTGGCTCTCGCGCCCCCACCCATCCCCCAGAGGCCTGGGGAGCAGGAAGCCTCTGCCAGGCAGGGCCATGCCCTGCCCCTCACCTCCTGCCTGGGGCTGAGCCTGGAATGTCTGATGGGTGCTCCTGGATGTGGGCTTATTTGGTGTTATCATTTCCTTCTACACATTGTTGGTCCACTGGTTCAAAAGACTCAAGTCTCGAACTGCTGTGGCCTGTGGGTTGTGTGTGAGGAGGGTCTTTCGGGTTGAATTTAGTTGGGGGGGGGGGCGGTGAAAGATGTGAGTCCAGATGAAAGATATGGTCCATAGCATGAGACCATCTGTACATCACCCCGAGGGAAAGACAGCCAAGAGGGGGCTGGGGGACTGGGGGAGGGGGCGCTCACTGCCAGAGCCGCTCAGGTGTGGGGTGGGTGCGTCTCAGACACAGCCTCAGCACTGGGCTCGGAAGGGGTCAGGACGAGGCCACGCAGCACATTCTAGACCAGTGGCTCCCAACGTGGGTACATGCCCCCCATAGGGGGGCCAGTTTGACTTTTAAGGGGGCGATTCGAGGATGAGTTATTAACAGTGAATTTTTTGCATTTCTTATGGTTCTAGGGGCCTCCTATACAACATAAATATAGATTGTGACATATGTGGTAAATGTTTCCCTCCACGTCCCACGTGGTTCAGGATTAAGGATCTGGAAGAGGAACTGCACACAAATGAAAAATAGAAAAGAGATAATTTGGAAATATTGGGGGGCCAGGCAGGTAAGTCCAACTCAAGGGGAAGGATTTCCACTGGTGCTCAGGCCCTACCAACCATTTATTGGTTTGGGATCCACCCATAGTATAGCCCTTAGGCAGGCAAGTTCTGGTAACAGACTATCTTATCAATAAGGATTTACATGAGTAAAGGCAAGGAAGTTGCTTCGGCTACCATTATCTGGATTAACTGGGTGGTGCACAGCTCTGACCTTTGCTAAGGCTTCAAAGGTCACCAGCCTTCTGGGTTCTCTGTCTACAGTTCTCTGCCAGTGAAGACAATAGGTGGTTTCCCACCTCTCCCCCTTCTTTTTTCCTTAAAAAATCTTGTATCTGCAGATCAGAAATAAACATATAAAAACAAAAATTTTTAAGTCCCAATTTCAATGTCCTACAGTTCTGAGTCCAAGTTTCAATGTCTGACAGTTCCTTATGTGTATATGCCAGCAATGATATTTCAGTTCTGGATGGTGGCAATGCAGGTCCGACCCTCTCTGGTATGATCCTGGGCAACCTGCAGCGACGCACAGCTGCTGACTGCTAGCATGGCAAAGCGTCATCAGCCTCTTCCATCTCTGGATTGTTTTTCCTCTTGTTCTCATGGCTGGAGCATTCCTGATAATTCCTCTCTGTTGCAGGAATCCACATGGTCTTGGAGTTGTTTTCTAAAAATATACAAACATATTCTCAACCAAAGGTTAATAAAGGAAATTTTACTTGGGGTCATTTTTATATTTGCCCAAATGAGTTTCCTTTGGCTTATTTTGACACCACGTATGTTTATCATGGGTGTCTTGCTGTTAGCATTACAAATGAAAAAAAAATTTTCTAGATGTAATTTAGTTACAGGATATTTTTCCTTACATGGTATTTTTCCACTATTCCCCCTTTTTTGATTTAATTATTAGGAAACTTTTGGAAAATTTTTATAATGCAGTCTAGATAACTTTAAATTTTATTTTTTTGCACAAAAATATGACTGCTTTAGGTTTATTGCATGTTAAGCAATTTTACCATGAAATGAAAATTTTGGTTAATACTTCTTGAATATTTACTTATTTTAAATTAGCCATTTTAATTAATTTGAAAACTTGAGTACTCTTTTACTGTCAAATACTCTAACAACAATCTTAGTTTACACTGTAAATATTAATGGAAAGGATTATTTTGCATCCTTGAGAAGGCCCTGAGCACTCCTGGTGTTAGGCTGGATTTAGATATAGGGTAGCTGCTGTCAGCCAAGTCTCTGTTGTCTGGGTCCCGATCTGAGCTGGGCCAAATCTCTTCCTGTTACCTGGGTCCCGATCTGAGCTGGGCATGGGAAGCCGGCCCCTTTGTGACTGTGCCTGTCTTAGGTTGTCCCTTCCTTGAGGAATCTTACCCGTCTCTGGCTAACCAGCCATCCTCCGGGGCCAAGCAGGGTGATGTGAGGTTCAGTTCTGTCTCCTTGGTAGCCTATGCCTCTGTGGCCTCCATGCCCAGCGACTGCCTTGGGATCCCCTCGCCTGCTGGGGGGCCCCGGCATTGATCACATATCTGGAGGAACCCAGGTTTCTTCTCCAGGGAAGGCCCAGTTCACGCCATTGGGTGAGAGACAGATCCATGGTACCAGCCACCATGAGGCTTCAACCTCAGCATGAACAGAGCTCAGACAACAGCGTAGGCAATTGGATTGTGAAAAGAGGGACCCTCTTGGCAAAAAGGGCAAGAGAGGCCAATACAGAATGCTCAAGTGCCTGCCCAGGGGGCCATCCTTTCATGTCCTTATTAAATCGCTGCCAAACATTCAAAGAATTAGTTTGTAAGATTGTTTGGGATAAATGTACAATATGCTGTTGTAAAATATCAAAAATTATTAATGACGTTGTAGAATAATATTATGTAAGGCCATGGCAATTCATTTTAAACTGGAAATGACATTAATTAAATATCTTCAATTAGTCAGATGTGGTAAATGTTTCCCTCCACGTCCCGTGTGGTTCAGGGTTCAGGATCTGGAAGAGGAGCCGCACACAAATGAAAAAGAGACAAGAGATAATTTGGAAATACTGGGGGGCCAGGTGGGTAAGTCCAACTCAAGGGGAAGGACTTCCACTGGTGCTCAGGCCCCACCAACCTTTTATTGGTTTGGGATCCACCCATAGTATTGTTGTGCCCAGATTTCAAGATTCCCAAGGGCCCACCAGGGGGCCAGCTGATCAAATGT